GTGATGTCCTCGATATCTGCACTACTCAAGGTGAATACTAAGTCCAGCCTTGCTGGTTCATCCTCTTCTCTCTCTCTTGTAGTGTCCCTTACGTGTGTGTGTGTGTGTGTGTGTGTGTGTGTGTATGTGTGTGTGTATGTGTGTGTGTGTGTGTGTGTGTGTGTGTGTGTATGTGTGTGTGTGTGTGTGTGTGTGTGTGTGTATGTGTGTGTGTGTGTGTGTGTGTGTGCGCGTGTATTCACCTAGTTGTACTCACCTAGTTGTGGTTGCAGGGGTCGATTCACAACTCCTGATCGCGCCTCTTCACTGGCCGCTACTAGGTCTGTCTGTCTTTCCGGAGTCCCTTCTGTCTCTGTGAACACTTCTTTGAATCTCATGTTGAGTTCCTCACATACTTCGCAGTCATTCCTTGCGATCAATCCTCCTTCCTTTCTCAGCCTGATTATCTGGTCCTTGGCTGTTGTTTTCCTCCTGATGTGGCTGAGCAACAGCTTCGGGTTAGATTTGGTTTTCGCTGCTATGTCATTTTTGTATTGTTGTTGGGCCTCCCTTCTTACCTGTGCATATTTATTTCTGGATCTGCGACTGCTCTCCTTATTCTCCTGAGTCCTTTGCCTTCTATACTTCTTCCATTCTGTAGCACACTTGGTTTTGGCCTCTCTACACCTTTGGGTGAAGCAAGGGGTCATCCTGGCTTTCTCGTTATTTTTGTTACCCTTGAATACAAACCTTTCCTCAGCTTCCTTGCATATTGTTGTCACATATTCCATCATCTTGTTTACTGACTTCCCTGCCAGATCTCTGTCCCACTGAACACTGTGCAGGAAATTCTTCATGCCTGTGTAGTCCCCTCTCATGTAATTAGGCTTCATTCGTCTTGCTCTTCCTGTTTCCGTCTCCACTTTTAACTCTAATATATATTCGAATCTCAGAACCACGTGGTCACTGGCCCCGCGCAGTCTTTCTTAAGTAATGTCCTCAATATCTGCACCACTTAAGGTGAATACTAGGTCAAGTCTTGCTGGATCATCCTCTCGTCTCTCTTTGATAGTGTCCGTTACGTGTTGATACGTGAGGTTTTGCAGTACCACCTCCAACATCTTAGCCCTCCACGTTCATGAGCTCCTATGTGGCTCCGGTCGATTTCGTTGTGATTGAAGTCACCCATAACCAGCAGCTTTGCCCTGCTCGCATGAACCCTTCTGACCACTTCAGCCAGTGTGTCAACCATCGCTCTATTACTCTCATCATACTCTTGCCTTGGCCTCTTTCTGTTCTGTGGTGGGTTATACAACACTGCAATTACCACCTTGGGATCTCAAGACTGAAGTGTTCCAGTTATGCAGTCTCTTGCTTCTGATCTGTCTTCTCTCTCCAGCTCATCAAAATCCCACTGGTTTTTGATGAGCAGTGCCACTCCATCACCCCCTCTGTTTCCTCTGTCTTTCTTCAGGATCTGATATCCCATTGGAAAGATGGCATCTGTTATCATTCTTTTGAGCTTGGTTTCTGTGAGAGATATGATGTCCAGTGATGCCTCTTTGACTCTTTTGTGCCACTCCTCCCACTTATTCGTTATTCCATCAGCGTTGGTGTACCATAACTTCAGTTTCCTCTCCAACATTGTGTTCTGGAGGGTCTGTGAGGGTGGGGGACTTGGCAGTGTGCTGTAAGATTCTACAGCATAGTGTGGAGTGCAGGCTGTAATTATGAATTGAGATTTGTGTTGGGATAACATGTTTTGTTCTCTGGGTGGTTCTGCATTTGCACTTGTTGTTCTGCCCTGCTTCAGTTGTCCTCTACTGAGGACAACAAGCCCCTTTCACTTCAGCTGCTGTCATTTTGTTCTTGTTCTTTCTCGGTCAAGGAACACTTTCTTGTATGTTGATTCATTCAGCCTTGATTTTTCTTGTAGGATCCTGTTCTTCACCCTTTTCTGTCTTGGAAATCAGTTTGACTGGCCAATTTCTTCCCTTCAGATACCCCCCAGTAATCTGAAAATCTACTATCTCAGTCATGTTGTCCTTGCCTATTTTTCTGGTGATGTTTTCAATCTCCTGTTTTTCTTCCTGCTGTCTTCCACTTGGTGTCCTTCCCTCACTCTCCTGAAGCCCATGAATGAACACTGACTTCTCCCTCTCCTCCTCCCATTGCCTTTCCCTCTGTGCCTCTGGGTCCTATTTGTACATGGCCATTTTCTCCCTTTTTTTCCTGTACCTCTTTGGTGCATGGTCATGCCTTTGCAAGGGGCCTATCCCCCTCTCCACCTTCTGCTCCTCCCTTACTGCTATCCCTGATCCCAACATTTCTTCCTCCTCATTCCTTGGCCCTGCTTGGTGGACTGATAGGGCCTTAACATAAGTCATGTTTTCTTCCTTTCTGTTGGGCTCTTCATTCAGTAGGGGTGTACCTCCTTCAGATGCAATGTTTCCTTTGGGCAATAGTCCGATGACTCGCTTCAGCCAATTTACCTCATTTTCTAGAGCCCGTATACTGGCTTCTACGGCTTAGGCTTGTGACTCACATTTCTTCTTCTTCACCTCCATCATCATCTCCATTTTTCAGAAAGCTCACTCAGTTTGCTCTCCCATCCTTGTTCCATCCTTTTACATTGCTCTTCCATCCATTCATCCTTGCCAGAACCATCTTCCTCTGATTCCCTGAGCCTTCAACTTCCCCTCTGAGCCACCATTTTTTTGTGTACATGTGTGTGTATGTGTGTGTGTGTGTGTGTGTGTGTGTGTGTGTGTGAGTGTGTGTGTGTGTGTGTGTGTACTCACCTAATTGTGATTGCAGGGGCCGAATCATAGCTTCTGGCCCTGCCTCTTCACTGATCACTACTAGTTCACTCCCTCCCTGTTGTGTGAGCTTTATTGTACCTCTTCTTAAAACTATATATGGCTCCTGCCTCCATCACCTTCCTGAATAAATGCTTCCTAACATCCTTGTGACTCATCTGAATCTTCAATTTCCAATTGTGATACCTCGCTGATATGTTTCATCTCTGAAATGTCCTGTCCCTGTCCACCTTGTCAATTCCTCATTGGGCATGCCCCTTAATTCTACTACTAGTCTCGTTGCAAATCTTTGCACATTCTCTAATTTCTTGATGTGCTTGTCCAGGTGTGGGTTCCAAACTGGTGCTGCATACTCCAATATGGGCCTGATGTACACGGTGTACAGAGTTCTGAGCTCCTTACTGAGATGTCGGTATCCTATTCTTAGGTTTGCTAGTCTCCTGTATGCCACAACAGTTATTTGGTTGACGTGCACCTCGGGAGGAGTGTTCGGTGTTATACACACCCAAGATCCTTTTCCTTGAGTGAGGTTTGTAGTCTCTGGCCCTCTAGACTGTACTTCGTCTGCGGTCTTCTTTGCCCTACCCCGATCTTCATGACTTTGCACTTGGCTGTGTTGAATTCTAGGAGCCATTTGCTCGTCCAACCTGTAGCCTGCCCAGATCCCTTTGTAGTCCTGCTTGGTCGTCCTCGGATTGAATTCTCCTCATTAACTTTATATCGTCTGCAAATAGGGACACTTCTGAGCCTATTCCTTCCGTCATGTCATTCACATATACGGGGAACAGCACCGACCCTAGGACTGAGCCCTTTAGAACCCCGCTCGTCACAGGTGCCCTCTCTGACACCTAGTCGCATACCCTGACTCGCTGCTGCCTTCCTGTCATATATTCTCTGATTCTTTGCATTGCCTTCCTTGTTATTCCTGCCTGGTCATCCAGCTTTTGCACTAATCTTTTGTGTGGAACTGTGCCAAAAGTCTTCTTACTGACCAAAAAAATGCAAACTACCCCCTCCCCTCTCTCTCTCTCTCTCTCTCTCGTCTTACTTCTGTCACCCAGTCATAGAACTCCAGGAGGTTTGTGACAGGATTTCCGGTCCCTGGCTGGTTGTGGTTGATAAGCTCATTCCTTTCTAGGGGCTGTACCACTCCTCTCCTGATAATCTTCTGCATGACTGCATACTATGCATGTCATTGACATTGGTCTGTCTCTTTTTTAAAAATTGGGACTAAATTTGTTGTCTTCCATTCCTCAGGAAGCTGCCCTGTTTCGTTAGTGTTGAAGATTGTTGTTACTGATACATAGAGTGCCTCTGCTCTGTGTGTGTGTGTGTGTGTGTGTGTGTGTGTGTGTGTGTGTGTGTGTGTGTGTGTGTGTGTGAATGCGTTGGGTCTGTTTGTATGCGCACACACAGTTTCTCTGCTTCTCGCAGTGCCCAAGGAGAATTATCTGGTCCCACTGCGTTCGAGATATCTTGCTCACACAATAGCTTCTTCACCTTTTTCCTTATGGCGAGAACTGTGCCCCGCACTCGCTGGTGCTCTTTGCTCCTTCGGTTTGCTGTTAGCTTTCCTTTTTCTTCTGAGACTATCTCCCTGAATCTCTTGTTGAGATCCTCTTAGACTTCCTGGTCATTCCAAGTGAACTCCCCTTTCTTCTTCAGCCTGATTACCTGGTCTCTTACTGTTGTCTTCCTACAGGTGTGGCTATATTACAGCTTTGGGCCACATTTGCCTTTCGATGATATGTTACTTTCAAATTGTCATTGAGCCTCTCCTCTTCTCCATGCATAATCGTTTTTGAATTTTCGACTCATCTCCTTGTTTGCCTTCTATATTCTTGCATTCTCTTACACATTTAGTTTTCGCTTCTCTGCATCTCTGGGTGAACCATGGCTAACTCTGGTCTTCCAATTGTTTCTGCTCTTTATGTTCCTAGGTTCAAATTTCTCCTCTGAATCCCTGCATTTTCCGGTCACATGCTCCATCAACTCATTCACTGTCTTCCTCTCTTCCTCTCTTTCACAATGTACCTCATTCAGATAATGCCTTTTGCTTGTGCTTCTCTTCTGAAGTCTGGTTTCTTGTATTTTTCCTCTCCTGCTTCTCTTCCAAATTTTCTTCCACACGCTATTCGATACTTATATCCACATTTCTATCTTGAGTTTCTATCTTGATAACATGGTTCTCTGCACCCACAGGAGGTTGCGTGGATTCAATGGACCGCAGAGGAGTTGCTAATGTCTCCATGATATACGGGGAGATAGTTGGTCATAGTAGTCCGGAGACTTCCCATGACCCTGCCGAAACGCCTCATATCCTCACTGGCTCCTGCGTAGACTCTAACCACGTCACACACGCCACCCACGCCCACGCAAAACAAGCCCACATCCACGTCAAACCCAAGCCCAGTACCCAACAGTCGCAATATATCCAGCGAGAATATTCCTCTCCAGTCCCGGTCGAGTTGCAGCACTCGACTACCTTCCACCACATGCTCTCAACTGCAACCTCCATCCCAGAGCCCATGTACACCCACGCCCATGCTATGCCTATCTCCCATACCCAAACTATGCCCCACCCACGCACCAGCCGAGCGAGAAGCCACAACCACTCAACAACCCTCAAGCGACGAAGCAGTTTGTACATGGTAAGGAAATAATATTTTATTTCTTTTGTACGTGGTAAAGAAATAATATTTCTGATACGTTTGTATACAATAAAGAAAAAAAAATTACGATCGTACGTTGCAGTAAATAATGTTATGTGATGTCTGTACGTGATGAGGGAACAATGTTTATATTGCTGTATGTATATGGTATGGAAATAAATGTTATTAGTGTTTGCTGGTGGTGAGAAAGTTTTGGCTTATTAAATAACAAAAAGGCACAATACCGTGACTGGAACGATACACAAATAACCCGCACATAAAAGACAGAAGCTTACGACGACGTTTCGGTCCGACTTGGACCATTGACAAAGTCACACTGTGTGACTTTGTCAATGGTCCAAGTCGGACCGAAACGTCGTCGTAAGCTTCTGTCTTTTATGTGCGGGTTATTTGTGTTTTGGCTTATTTGTCTTGACATCCTACCGAGTGGAGAGCCTTCTTACTGGTAAACAGGTTTTGCTCCAGGTAGTTGCACCTACCTCCTCTTCCTGAAATTAAACCTAATTCCTAGCAGTGCTTGAGGCACAACACCCATTATTTAATGATCTGGCTTCCACACAGGGAAAGGAAAGGTCGAGGCTGGAGCTTCTGCCTATTAATGGTAATCAGGCACCCGTCCAGTCTAGCTGTTGGTTATTGTCATGTGTATGGGGAACCTGTGTGATTAGAGTGTGTGAGAAGAGTGTGAAAAGGGTGTGTGACGGTGTGTGTGGAAGGTGCGGGAGGAAAGGTGTGTGTGGAGCGTGTGAGGAATGTGTATGAAGAGTATGTGTGGAAGGTGCTTGGAGAGGGTGTGTGTGAAAGGTGTTTGGAGAGGGTGTGTGAAGGGTGTTTGGAGAGGGTGTGTGTGAAGAGTGTTTGGAGAGGGTGTGGGTGAAGGGTGTTTGTAGAGGGTGTGTGTGTGAAGGGTGTTTGGAGAGGGTGTGTGTGAAGAGTGTTTGGAGAGGGTGTGTGTGAAGGGTGTTTGTAGGTGTGTGTGTGAATGGTGTTTGGAGAGGGTGTGTGTGAAGGGAGTTTGTAGAGGGTATGTGTGTGAAAGGTGTTTGGAGAGGGTGGGTGTGTGAAGGGTGTTTGGAGAGGGTGTGCGTGAAGAGTGTTTGGAGAGGGTGTGTGTGAAGGGTGTTTGTAGACGGTGTGTGCGTGAATGGTGTTTGGAGAGGGTGTGTGTGAAGGGTGTTTGTAGAGGGTGTGTGTGTGAAGGGTGTTTGGAGAGGGTGTGTATGAAGGGTGTTTGTAGAGGGTGTGTGTGTGAAGGGTGTTTGGAGAGGTTGTGTGTGTGAAGGGTGTTTGGAGAGGGTGTGTGTGAAGGGTGTTGAGGGTGTGTGCGTGAAGGGTGTTTGGAGAGGGTGTGTGTGAAGGGTGTTTGGAGAGGGTGTGTGTGTGAAGGGTGTTTGTAGAGGGTGTGTGTGCGACGGGTGCTTGTAGAGGATGTGTGTGTGTGAAGGGTGTTTGGAGAGGGTGTGTGTGTGAAGGGTGTTTGGAGAGGGTGTGCGTGAAGAGTGTTTGGAGAGGGTGTGTGTGAAGGGTGTTTGTAGACGGTGTGTGCGTGAATGGTGTTTGGAGAGGGTGTGTGTGAAGGGTGTTTGTAGAGGGTGTGTGTGTGAAGGGTGTTTGGAGAGGTTGTGTGTGTGAAGGGTGTTTGGAGAGGGTTTTGTGTGAAGGGTGTTTGTTGAGGGTGTGTGCGTGAAGGGTGTTTGGAGAGGGTGTGTGTGAAGGGTGTTTGGAGAGGGTGTGTGTGTGAAGGGTGTTTGTAGAGGGTGTGTGTGCGACGGGTGCTTGTAGAGGATGTGTGTGTGTGAAGGGTGTTTGGAGAGGGTGTGTATGAAGGGTGTTTGTAGAGGGTGTGTGTGTGAAGGGTGTTTGTAGAGGGAGTGTGTGTGAAGGGTGTTTGTAGAAGGTGTGTGTGTGAAGGGTGTTTGTAGAGGGTGTGTGCGCGAAGGGTGTTTGTAGAGGGTGTGTGTGTGAAGGGTGTTCGTAGAGGGTGTGTGTGCGACGGGTGTTTGTAGAGTGTGTGTGTGTGAAGGGTGTTTGGAGAGGGTGTGTGTGAAGGGTGTTTGTAGAGGGTGTGTGTGCGAAGGGTGTTTGTAGAGGGTGTGTGTGTGTAAAGGGTGTTTGGAGGTGTGTGTGAAGGGTGTTTGGAGAGGGTGTGTGTGTGAAGGGTGTTTGTAGAGAGTGTGTGTGAAGGGTGTTTGTAGAGGGTGTGTGAGTGAAGGTGTTTTTTAGAGGGTGTGTGTGAAGGGTGTTTGGAGAGGGTGTGTGTGTGAAGGGTGTTTGTAGAGTGTGTGTGTGAAGGGTGTTTGTAGAGGGTGTGTGAGTGAAGGGTGTTTGTAGAGGGTGTGTGTGTGAAGGGTGTTTGTAGAGTGTGTGTGTGAAGGGTGTTTGTAGAGGGTGTGTGAGTGAAGGGTGTTTGTAGAGGGTGTGTGTGTGAAGGGTGTTTGTAGAGGGTGTGTGATGAGAGTGTGTAAGTAAATTGTGAGGGGATGGTATGAGAGTGTTTAAGTAAATTGTGAGGAGAGTAAATGAGAAACATGTGTCGGGAGGATAAGTACATGTGTTAACATCACCAGTGTGAGGAGATGAACAAGTGTTAACATTATCAGTGTGGGAGATGAACAAGTGTTAACATTACCAGTGTGGGAGATGAACAAGTGTTAACATTACCAGTGTGGGAGATGAACAAGTGTTAACATTACCAGTGTGGGAGATGAACAAGTGTTAACAATACCAGTGTGGGAGATGAACAAGTGTTAACATTACCAGTGGGGAGATGAATAAGTGTTAACATTAGCAGCGTGGGAGATGAGCAAGTGTTAACATTACCAGTGTGGAAGATGAACAAGTGTTAACATTACCAGTGTGGGAGATGAACAAGTGTTAACATTACCAGTGTGGGAGATGAACAAGTGTTAACATTACCAGTGTGGGAGATGAACAAGTGTTAACATTACCAGTGTGGGAGATGAACAAGTGTTAACATTACCAGTGTGGGAGATGAACAAGTGTTAACATTACCAGTGTGGGAGATGAACAAGTGTTAACATTACCAGTGTGGGAGATGAACAAGTGTTAACATTACCAGTGTGGGAGATGAACAAGTGTTAACATTACCAGTGTGGGAGATGAACAAGTGTTAACATTACCAGTGTGGGAGATGAACAAGTGTTAACATTACCAGTGTGGGAGATGAACAAGTGTTAACATTACCAGTGTGGGAGATGAACAAGTGTTAACATTACCAGTGTGGGGATGAACAAGTGTTAACATTACCAGTGTGGGAGATGAACAAGTGTTAACATTACCAGTGTGGGAGATGAACAAGTGTTAACATTACCAGTGTGGGAGATGAACAAGTGTTAAACATTACCAGTGTGGGAGATGAACAAGTGTTAACATTACCAGTGTGGGAGATGAACAAGTGTTAACATTACCAGTGTGGGAGATGACAAGTGTTAACATTACCAGTGTGGGAGATGAACAAGTGTTAACATTACCAGTGTGGGAGATGAACAAGTGTTAACATTTCCAGTGTGGGAGATGAACAAGTGTTAACATTACCATTTGTGGGAGATGAACAAGTGTTAACATTACCAGTGTGGAAGATGAACAAGTGTTAACATTACCAGTGTGGGAGATGAACAAGTGTTAACATTACCAGTGTGGGAGATGAACAAGTGTTAACATTACCAGTGTGGGAGATGAACAAGTGTTAACATTACCAGTGTGGGAGATGTACAAATTTTTACCAGTTTTAATTGCCTGTGGAAAATCCATATATCATGTAACTTTCAGTGTGTCTGTTGCTCGGGTCTCTTGTTCCTTGTGTTCACTGTGTTTATTTTCCGGTGTCTGAGGAGTATTCTTGAATATTTTTTAATGCCAGGAATGTGCGTGCGTTCATTTTGTCACCATATTGCAGGTGTTCGCATATTTATCTATTTATTCTTTTTTGCAATAAGATTACAACAAACACGTGATACATCATGGAAAAAAAAAAGATCTTACAATGGCTTTCGTGAGTTCTCGCTGTATCAAAGAAGTAACTTGAGAATCACGATAGCCCCAGGAATTTCAATGTTTTCACTGTGGTTACTTTGCATAATGTGTATTTTGTATTGTGTGGAGAAGTGTTTATATATCACGAGGGTGTTTACATGCAGTGTTTGTAAATAATTTCTCCCGTTTGTGAATTGTTAAATATTCTAAAATCTAAAATGTGGGGTATGGGATACACCGTCTAGGTTTGGCTAAGCGCCCGTAAAGTACAAAAGTACTGTGTACTTTGAGTCAGAGTGTACAGGTTCGAATCCTGCTGTGGGCTGAGGTAACACTAGTCAACAAGAAATATCGTTTTCAAAGATATTTGAAGGCATTTTGGGGACTGCTGAATTAGAAAATGGCAGTAGGCTTTTGAAAGTGGCTCTAATTTATGAGGTATTGAATACTTACCCTCAATTAACAGGGAAGTTAACCATAACCCGTGTATATGTATATGTAGTGATAATTTGTAAATAAAGACAGTTTAATAAAGTTAGAATTTTATTTTTTAAATGCTTTAATATTTAACCAAAACACACACACACACACATACACATACACATGTGTGTGTGTGTATGTGTGTGTGTGTGTAATAAAGGAGTTGTATCAACAACAACATGACAGTATTGTAACCATTATTTTGTTTAATTTTTTTTTTCACGAGGAGTCTGCTTAAACAATCACTATGCATTATGGTACATTGGTGACTAATATTCTTTGCAAAAAAAACAAAGAAAAACATTATAGATTTTGTAAAACAGGCTTATCTTGGTTATTTTGAGTGACGCTGGAGAACAAGACAAGTCTTAGGCTCTCCATATGGTTTGCAAAAACTGTGTAGAATGCTTACCACAGTGGAAAAATAGGCAATGGAAAACTTTAAACTTGGGTGTGTCTATGGTGTGGAGAGAACCAAGAAACCACCACGACGATTGTTATTCCTGTATGGTGAACGTGAAAGGTTTCAATCAATACAGGAAAGTCAAGTAGTAATATCCTAATTTAGAGTCAGCAAGGTGACCTGTGCCACTCAGCGAAGACGTTCCCATACCAGTGTTTACAACACTGACTGACCTTAAATTGGCAGATGTTGAAGAAACTCAGGGTTTAGGATGTAACAGAGGTGATAACAGTGGAAGTGAATGTGAAGCAAACATTTCAACACCCCAGCAGTTCTCCCAAGAATAACCTAATGGTCTGATGAGTGACCTCAGTCAGTCAAAGTAAACATCTGAACTTTTAGCATCCAGACTAAAAGAAAAGAACTGCCTACAGCGAAAAGTTACAATAAAAGCTTATTGGAGTTTACTCCCTGCTTATTTTAGCCAAAATGAAGAACATGTATACTTCAACAGCATCCCTGAACTTCTTCGAATGTGACATGAATATCAAAAGAACAAAAAAGAACAAAAGAAAGGAGGAACTCTGCAGCAGGCCTGTTGTCCCATACTAGGCATGTCCTTTACGTGTAGGAAAAGACACTTATGTACAGTTCAGGACATTTATTAAAGGAAACGTTTCGCCGCGAGTGGCTTCTTCAGTCCTAATATCGACCAGAAGATTGGCGACTCTTCATAGACAGCTTCATTAGAAGCTTGAAATATGTCTTATTGCACAGTGGTAACCGATATGCATCACTTCCAATTGCTCACTCAACAAAATTTTAAGAATACGAAAATATCAAAAATGGTTTTCATAAGCAGAAATTAATCTGTTATTATATTGAATTTAGTGCTAGTATATATTACATGATTTGACTTTTGCATGATCTGAAAAATGGTTTCAGTTATTTGTAAGTTAGCCCTGCCTGATCAATATGTTTTTCACATCTTTCATATTTTTCAATGGCCTCCACAAGCAGTGGAGGCTAATACACCAAACGGAGAGTAGAATGAAATTAGCTCAGAGGCACCCACACCACCGTATGTCCCTGAATCAAGGTAAAGCACATAGCTCTGCTGGGTGCGTGATTGTAGGATTTCCTGGTCCTGTGGGTTAGAGCATCATGTGATTTTCACTCACCATGAGGCAGGCCAAAATGACATCTGTTAGAGTCCATGGCTAGCCACAGTGTTATTGTTGATAAATACCACTCGCTCCTGGTTACAATATATATATATATAATATATATATATATATATATATATATATATATATATATATATATATATATATATATATATATATATACAGTGGTCCCTCGTTGTTCGTAATTAATCAGTTCCTGGAGCCGTTACTATAAACGAAATTTACGATTTACGAATCAATTTTCCCCATAAGAAATAATGTAAATACAATTAATCCGTTCCTGACACCCAGAAGTATTAAAACAAAAAAAATTTTTAACATGAAATATGCATGTAGTACATAAACAATACAATGGGAAATGATGAATGAAACATTAACAGCATAACACTTACCTTTATTGAAGATTCTTCTTAGTGTATGAGAGACTGGAGGAGAGGAGAGAGTGGATTGTTTATAGTTTGGAAGGGGAATCCCCTTAAATCAACACCTCAGGTACCATTTGCTTTTCTGGGGTTGCTTCTCTTCTCTGATTCTTAATGCCACTAGGACCACCTTGGGAGTCACTGGAGTCCTGTCTCACAAAATAACTGTGGAGAGAGCTCTGTTTCTGGCGTCTCTTTAACACTTCCCTAAAATGGCCCAAGACTTTGTCACTGTACATGTTGCCAACCTGGCTTGCAACAACCTTGCAACAACAAATCTTCATGCAACTGCCTAGCCTTTTCGCAAATAAACGAAGTCATAAGAGTATCTCCTGCTAATTGTTTCTCATTTATCCACACCAATAATAACTTCTCAACCTCTTCCAGTACTGGTGATCTCATTTTTGTCACCATAGTTACTCCCTTTGCAACAACAGCATCCTTTATTTCATTTTTCTTGGCCACTATGGAACATAAGGTTGTGTAGGGTTTCTTGTACACCCTGGACAGTTCGGCCACACTTGTACCACTTTCATATTGTTCAATGATGGTTTTCTTAAATTCAATCGTATTTCTCACCTTCTTTACCACAGGCTTGGCACTAGGAGCTTTCTTTGGAGCCATGGTAGCTTATTTAGTACTTGCAAGCACTAAAATAAATGGAATATTATGAAATATTTCGCTGAAGCACGTGAGGGGACCTTCGCTCACTGGTAAACAATGCCAGACTGGCTGCCGCCCTGGCTCACGCCGTGGGTACGCGTCCCGGACGAACTACGACTCGCGAGTCAACCTATAAAAAGCGAGTCCATGTTTATACGAAAATACCTCTATGATTGGCGAATTTTACGATTGCCGGGAACTACGAAAAGCGGGGGACCACTGTGTATATATATATATATATATATATATATATATATATATATATATATATATATATATATATATATATATATATTATATATATATTACTATTTATTTATTTTATTAACACACTGGCCGATTCCCACCAAGGCAGGGTGACCCGATAAAGAAAAACTTTCACCATCATTCAGTCCATCACTGTCTTGCCAGAAGGGTGCTTTACACTACAGTTCTTCTTCTCTTTTTTAGTAAATGTTTACAGGAGAAGGTGTAAGTATATGCAAAACAACCACTGTGAAAGAATAGTGAAATTCCAAAGATACATATCGGATTGTATTCACTGAGAAATGTAAATCATTCTGTTTATTTAGCCTTGCTAGTCCAGTTTAACCGCAGGATGATTGCTGTCACTGATGTTCTGTTTATTTCTGCAGGATCCTATGAGTATATCCCTGGCTCCGCCCATTGCTCCGCCCCCAGCATACGATACCCCGACACCGTCTCTCACCCCTGATGTTATGACTGTGGTTGCCATGGTAGCGGAAACTGTCAGCATCACTCCTCACACCTCTCTTCACTCCTACACATGTCCGCCCGACCTGTACCAGCCCAAGCCCTTCCCTACAACCTTCAGCAGTGATCGCTTGGAGAGTGCAGTGTGAGGGATGAGTGAAGTTTTTAAGGATCCTTCACTGTGAAAACTTCCTAGCCTGCCACTGAGATTACGTGAGGTCACTGACAGAACAGTATTTCTACATTTAGAGTATGTATGTGTGTAGCCCTACGAGTGGGAAATGTTGAGTTATCTACCATGAAAATCAACATTTGAAGTCCTAGAGCTGGGAAATGTTGATGTGTTGTCATCAGCAGCTGCAATTCTATGACAGAGAAATGTTATTTTTTCCCATTAAGATGTGACTTACATCGTGAAAATGAACACCTACAGTAACAGGGAATCGAAAACCGTGTTGAACCTTTTAGCTATTGAATTCAACATACTTGGTTGAATGATTTCCGCAACAATATTTAAACACGAGCAGGAACTTGTGGTATTATCCCTGGGAGTCTGTAGTTCGATACCAATAAAGTCTGTGTGAATACGTTACTCGTGCAAGAATCTCCGTGAGTTATCGAACAATAAGGTGTAAAAAATTAACAGCAAATCACACTGTCTGGAATAAACTAACAACTGACTCACATAGTTGCAACAGATGATACTACCATCGTAGACTCACACAACACTACACGTCACAACACATGACTCACACAACAACACTACACGTCACAACACATGACTCACACAACAACACTACACGTCACAACACATGACTCACACAACAGTACACGTCACAACACATGACTCACACAACACTACACGTCACAACACATGACTCACACAACAACACTACAAGTCACAACACATGACTCACACAACACTACACGTCACAACACATGACTCACACAACACTACACGTCACAACACATGACTCACACAACAACACTACACGTCACAACACATGACTCACGCAACACTACACGTCACAACACATGACTCACACAACACTACACGTCACAACACATGACTCACACAACAACACTACACGTCACAACACATGACTCACACAACACTACACGTCACAACACATGACTCACACAACACTACACGTCACAACACATGACTCACACAACACTACACGTCACAACACATGACTCACACAACAACACTACACGTCACAACACATGACTCACACAACACTACACGTCACAACACATGACTCACACAACACTACACGTCACAACACATGACTCACACAACACTACACGTCACAACACATGACTCACACAACACTACACGTCACAACACATGACTCACACAACACTACACGTCACAACACATGACTCACACAACACTACACGTCACAACACATGACTCACACAACAACACAACACGTCACAACACATGACTCACACAACACTACACGTCACAACACATGACTCACACAACACTACACGTCACAACACATGACTCGCACAACAGCACTACATGTCACCACACATGACTCACACAACACTACACGTCACAACACATGACTCACACAACAGCACTACATGTCACCACACATGACTCACACAACACTACACGTTACAACACCTGACTTACACAACAACACCACATGTCACCACCATCTGACTCATACAGTATCAATAGAGGTATCAGCACACATACATGAACTCACTAACACACACTCATACACCCTCACACACAAATGCATATATACACACACACGCTTGCATAAACACTAGCACTCACACATGCACACTCACATGCACACACTAGCGTAACACTCACACATAAACGTACATACTCGCAAATATAAACGCGAACGCACTCACACACACACACACACACACACACACACACACACACACACACACACAGGGAGAGAGAGGACCCAGTAGCAACCGGTGAAGAGGCGGGGGCAGAAGCTAAGACTCGACCCCAGCAACCACAAATAGGTTGAGGGAAATTGGACTGACGACACTGGAAGACAGGAGGGTCAGGGGAAACATGATAACGACATGCAAAATACTGCATGAAATAGATAAGGTGGACAGAGACAGGATATTCCAGAAAGGGGACACAGAAACAAGGGGCCACAATTGGAAGCTGAAGACTCAGACGCGTCACAGGGATGTTAGGAAGTACATATTTCTTAAGTCATAGAGTCGTCAGGAAGTGATGTAGTGGAGGTAGGAACCATACATAGCTTTAAGACGAGGAATGACAAAGCTCAGGAAGGAGAGAGAGAGAGAGAGAGAGAGGACCTAGTAGCAGTCAGTGAGGAGGCCGGGCCAGGAGCTGAGTCTCGACCCCTGCAACCACAATTAGTTGAGTACAATTAGGTGAGCGCTCACACACACACAAATACAAGAAGTGTTTTCAGTGGAGACACAAAGGACTCTAGTAAACCAGGATTGAAGGGTACACAAACAATTGCTGGACACACTACACACAAACGAAGAGCAAGTGAAGAGACTGCTAAGTGAACTAAATACCTGAAAGGCGGTGGGACCAGACAACGTCTCTCCGTGGGTCCTGAGGGAGCAAAGGTACTGTATATGCCACTAACAACACTCGTCAACATATATATCGAAACAGGCAACCACCTGAGGAGGAACACATGTAATGTAGTCCCTGTTTTTAAGAAAGGGGACAGACAGGCAGCAGTACATGTCACTGACATGTATAATACGCAAAGTCATGGAGAAGTTTATCAGGAGATGAGTGGTGGAGCACCTAGAAAGGAATGAGTTCATACACGAAAACCAGCACGGTTTCAGGGAAGGGAAATCCTCTGACACAAACCTTCTGGAGTTTTAGGACAAGATGACAGAAGTAAGACAGGAGAGAGAGAGAGAGAGAGAGAGAGAGAGAGAGAGAGGAGAGAGAGAGAGAGAGAGAGAGAGAGAGAGAGAGAGAGAGAGAGAGAGGTGGGTAGACTGCATTTCTTGGACTTTAAGATGGCACAAGAGATTAATGCAAAAGATAAAACAGGTAACAACAATAACAGTATAGGCATTGCAATGTATCAGAGAATAAATGACAGAAAGGAAACAGTGAGTGGTGGTACATGACGAGGTGTCAGAATGGGCACAGGTGGCGAGTGGGGTTCCACAAGGGTTAGTCCTAGGGCTGGTACTGTTTCTGGTATATGTGAATGACATGACGGAAGGAATAGATTCAGAGGTGTCCCTGTTTACAGACGATGTGAAGCTAATGCAGAGAATTCAAACAGATAAGGATGAGGTAGGCCTATAAAGGGCTCTGGACAGACTGCAAGCTTGGTCCAACAACTGGCTCCTGAGGTTTAACCCGCCAAGTGCAGAGTCATGAACATAGGGGAAGGTCAAAGAAGACCGCAAACGGAGCACAGGATAGGTAGCCAAAGGCAGAAAAACCTCACTCATGGAACAGATCTCAGGGTGAGTATCATAACGAGCACATCTCCTGAGGCGCACATCAGCTAAATAACTGCTGCGCATTGGAGACCTAAAAATAGCATTTCGACACCTAAATAAGGAATCATTCAAGACACTGTACACTGTGTACGTCAGGCCCATACTGAAAGCACCAGTCTGGAACCCACACATGATCAAACATGTCAAGAAATTAAAATGCAAAGGTTTGCAACAAGACTAGTTCTGTTGCTAAGGGGTATGTCCTTTGGGGAAAGGTTAAGGGAAATCAACCAGACGGCACTGGAGAACAGAGGGGAGAGCTAGGGGTCGGGACATGATAACAACATATAAAATACTGAGATGACGTGTCTAGGTGGATAGGGACAGAATGTTTCAGAACTGTGACACAGCAACAAAGGGTCATGATTGGAAATTTAAAATTCATATTAGTTACAGAGATGTAAGGAAGTATTTCTTCAGTCATGGAGTTGTCAGGAAGTAGAACAATCTGGAGAGCGATGTAGTAGAGGCAGGATCTATACATAGTTTGAAGAAGAGGTATGATAAAGCTCATGAAGCAGGGAGAGAGTGTACCTAGTAGCGACGAGCGAAGAGTCGGGGTGAGGAGCTGTGACTTGACCCTGCAACCACAAATAGGTGAGCACACATACTAACATACATTCACACGCACGCACGCACACACACACACACACACAAAATATAACACATATATATATATATATATTATATATATATATATATATATATATATATATATATATATATATATATATATATATATATATGTCGTGCTGAATATGTAAAACTGGTCAATTAGCAAGAACTCATTTAAAATTAAGTCCTTTCCAAAATTTTCTCTTATACGTTTAAAAATATATTATTTTCATTAATGTTGATGTAAAAAATTATAATTTTGTACCAAAAGGAACTTAGAAAACTTACCTAACCTTATTATAAAAAGCGCAATTTATTTTAGCCTAACTCAACTAAATATATTTTAGATTTGTTTACAGTAATTTAATACTAAACAAACACAGTGAAATATATTTTTTTCGTTAGGTTCAGAATGATTTTGGCGAAATTATTGCATACACAAATTTTCACTTGTCCTATATGGCAAGATGAACGTTGCTATTTAAGCCAAGATCGCAAGTTCTGCCTATTGGGGGCAACGACATAATAATATATATATGGATGAGAGTGAATGATGGTGTCAAGTATTTCTTTTACGGGCCAAAAACCCATGCCTGGTGGGAAATCTCCCCGGTGTGATAATAAAAAAAAATATAATAGTATATAATAAATATTAAATATATATATATATAGATATATATATATATAATGATATATATATAGTAATATATATATAAAAAATACACACAAATATACACACACTTACACACACACGCACGATCTGGACAGGCTGCAGGCCTGGTCCAGAAACTGGCTCCAGGAGTTTAACCCCACCAAGTGTTAAGTCATGAAGATTGGGAAAGGGCAAAGAAGACTGCAGACGGAGTACAGTCTATGGGCCATAGACTACAAACCTCATTCAAGGAAAATGATCCTGGGTAAGTATAACACCGGGTACATCTCCTGAGGCGGACATCAACCAAATAACTGCTGCAGCATATGGGCGCCTAGCAAACCTAGGAATAGCATTCCGGCATCTCAATAAGGA